TTCAAATTGACAAGTTATTTTAGTTTGCAAAGAGTCTTTAGGTATTATAGGATTATTCGAGTTTTAGGTTGCGTGACACTATCTTGATTTCGTTACGCCGTGCCTTCAGACACGGGCAATTACTAGTCTTTCCTACTAAATAGAACATACATTATGTATTATTAGTAATTGCTAATACCACGTATCACCAATGACATAATACCATCACGACAATAAATATTAACTCTATATAGAGGGTCACTATTAATTTATGTGATATTCACTTATTTATTTGTAAAATATTATTAAATACTGATACCACGGAATAATATTTATGTGATATCTTTATTGTAATGAATATTTTTCCCACATTTGAATTGTCTTACAAGCTGCTTCTCACATCTAGATGGTCTTACAAGTTTCTCTCTCTCTCTCTCTCCATTTTGTNGTGATACCACGGAATAATATTTATGTGATATCTTTATTGTAATGAATATTTTTCCCACATTTGAATGGTCTTACAAGCTGCTTCTCACATCTAGATGGTCTTACAAGTTTCTCTCTCTCTCTCTCTCCATTTTGTTTGAATGGTGATAATGTGTAATAAAAAAAATTAAAATTTTCTGGTTCTTCTTAAGGAGAGAACTGACCAAAGTCCATTAAACAGCATAATTAGGAGAAGGAAAATAAACAGTAGAGTAAAATAAATTTTTTTTTTTTGGACAGAACGTGCACAAAAAATATACACAAAATAATCGCACGGGAAAGCTCAACAAAATGAATCGAAAGATGAAAGGGTTGAGAAAGTGAAAAAGAAAATGGAGTAAGTCATTGACAGATTAAAGTTTAAAGTTAGTGGCTGATTTTGTGGCCCAAATGAAAGTAAAATTACAGTAGAGGTCACAACAGAACAGAAGAATCGTTGTGGATTGGCATCTTCTTTTTGTCTTGGTCTGAAATCAAAATCGGTTGACATAACTGTCGCCTGCCAAATGTACAGTTCTTCACGAGCGTCCATCACACCAAAAAAAAAAAAAAATCTTTTAAACTTATAAGTGTTCCCACATAAATCATTTGTCCTTTGATTGACAAGCTTGTCTTTAAGCAAGAACAAACAATTTAGAAAAAAGTTTATTTTTTTATATGGAATACCATGAAATACGTGTCATGTATTTTTTCTATAAAAAATTAAAAATTTTATAATTGATCATAACATTTTTAGATTAATTATATATCTTGTACAAGCTATAAATTACACTTTAAAAAGCTATAGTTTAACTTAAAAAAATTGTATTTTAATTTAAAAAGAAACCAAAAAAATGAATAACATAGTGAGTAACGGTTATAACTAATATTGTTTCTTAAAGATAGGGGAGAGATAGAGACCGGGATGAAAAAATACATTACAAAATCAGTATTGATAATATAGTATCACAAATTAATAATATATAAATAAATAAAATTTGGGCTCTATATAAATAAATAACTATTTCCTCTTATTCTATATAAGTTAATAATTATTTGAATAAATTTTATTTTATTTATTTAAAATTTTGTTATTAGTGGATGATACGATATGATCTCCCTTTTCCATTGAATATTTTCTGGACAGAGAGAGCCCTGTCCGTCGATGTCGGCAAAACCAGATCGAGTAAAAGCAAAGGTTCAATTAACTCTCGTCGTGGAGACATGATTGCCCTGCGTTTGTAATCATNACCAGATCGAGTAAAAGCAAAGGTTCAATTAACTCTCGTCGTGGAGACATGATTGCCCTGCTTTTGTAATCATTTTCAGGATGAGACGCTGCCACGTGTCACACTTATTGCCCAACTTCCGTAAGGTCACAACCCACCTTTGAATAATGACAACCGACCTCTGAGTAATGACAACCGATTCAAGTCAGTGGACCTTATCCAAACATAAACAAANGTTTGTAATCAATTTGAGGATGAGACGCTGCCACGTGTCACACTTATTGCCCAACTTCCGTAAGGTCACAACCCACCTTTGAATAATGACAACCCACCTCTGAGTAATGACAACCGATTCAAGTCAGTGGACCTTATCCAAACATAAACAAATAAAATGGACTCCACTAACGTACCGACGGACAAAAAAATAATTAATACCGTACCGATAAAATTTATTATTTTAAATTTTTTTTGGAAGTTAGTAATTATAAAAAAATATATAAAAAAAATTTATATAATAAATTAACTTACAATTCAAATCTCGAAAAATAAATAAAATAACTTTTGTTATTCGCAATGGAGATCGNCAAAAAAATTTATATAATAAAGTAACTTACAATTCAAATCTCAAAAAATAAATAAAATGACTTTTGCTATTCGCAATGGAGATCGTTTTAAATTTTATTTTAAAATTAATCTAACGGTTAATATTAACTCCCTAAATTTAATAAGAAAAATAGAATCATAAAGGTGTGTTTAGAATGACTTTTTAAAAATATTTTTAGAAATTATTTTTCATAAATACTTTAAAAAAAATAGTGTTTGAAATCGCCTCACCACTACCTCTACCACCACCCCCAACACCACCGTTGTGGTCGCCCCACCACCACCATCGTCGCCGCCGCCACTACCACCACCACCATTGCCCCCCACCTCCACCACCGTCATTGTTACCACCACAGCCCCCACCTCTACCACCACTGCCGTCGCCACCATCACCACCATCGTCGTGGTGGTCTTCGTCGCCATCACTACCACCATCACCACAGTCACCAACACCCCCAACCATCGTTGCCGCCGTCACCACCACCACCACCACCACCATGGTTATTGTCACCCACCACTATCATCACTGTATCTTGCCAGCACCACTGTAGCCCTTTACCTCTACAAATCGATGCTTCAATTTTTTTATCTCTTCTTTATGTTTGTGATTTGATTTTAAATATAAATACAAATATTTTTATTGTTTACCATTTTTTTTATTTTATGTTTTTAGACACAGGCAATAACTAGTGACTTTTTAAAAATACTTTTAAAAATTATTTCTTATAAATACTTCAAACAAAATAGTGTTTGAAACCGCTCCACTACTACCTCTCTTACCACCACCACCATCGCAACTACCACCACCACCATCATCGTCGCTGCCACCACCACTGTCATCGCTTCCGCCACCACCGTTGCCACCATCGCCACCGTCGTCGCCACCACCATCGTCGTCATTATTCCCATCGCCAGCGCCACTACCACTGCCACCTACCACCCCCATCACCCCCACCACCACTACCACCCCCAACCCCACCACCGCTACCAGCACCGTCGTCACTACCACTACCATCACCACCACCACCACACCTATCACCACGCCCATCGCCTTCAACACGGCCACCGCCCATCACCATCACCATCAACGCTCCCGCCGCCACCACCCCACCACCACCATTACCGCCATCGTCGTTGTTGCCACCACAACCACCATCGTCGCCACTACGGTCATTGCCACCCACCACAACCATCACCGTCTCCTATCATCCACCACCTTTCACCCCTACTACAAATCAATGTTTAAATTCATTTATTTTTCTCTATATTTGTATTTTGATTTTGAATATGAATACAAATATATTTATTGTTTACTATTTTTTATTATTCTATTCTTTCAGACACAGACAATAACTAATATTTTATAAAGAAGTACACTGCTTAACTGCCCATTTTTTAAAATTTATTTTCTTAAAAACTATTTTAGGAATATATCTTAAAATTAATTAGGTACACAACGATAAGACTTAATCGCTAAATTTTAGGAATATTACTTTCTTAAAAATGATTTTAGAAATATATTTTAAAATTAATTAGGTACACAGTGATAAAGTTTAACCGCTGAATTTTAAGAATATTAATTTGAGAATAGTTTCATCTTCAAAAAACGATTATCTCTTTTTCTTTCTATCCAAAAACTACTTCATCTTCTTCGACGAGAAGTCCTAAATTTTTTCCTGAACATCTACGGAGTTTCGTCTTTAAAACTTAATTAATATTTTTATAATTTTGTGAGTCATTTTATCATTAAAAAACTTATTATTTTTTGTGAATATTTTTATTAATGGTATGAGTGTTTTTTTCACTGTTCTGTTAACTATTTTTATTATTTTTCTTCGATATAACAAAATTACTACTTTCATGGATAATTTATCACATTTGTGGGTATTTTAACCATGGAATGTGTTTTTCCACTGTTATGATAACTATTTTTATGACTTTTTTTGGGTATTACAACAATAGTAAAAATACTTATAACAATGAGAAAAACAATCACAAATGCGATAAATGGAGGTATAATACCAATTTTTTTTTTTTGGTACCATGGACAATTCCTAAAAAAATTTATTCATAATAAAAATTATTCAAGACGAACTCATTCAAATTTTTTATTTGAAATTAAGTTGCATTCTATTCGGTTACAACAGATTTCAATTTATTTAGTAATTTTTTTTTTATTAGAGGGTGGAGAATAATAAGGTCCAAACTCACAATCTTTTGGCGGAAACTAAACATGAAGACTCATAAGCGAAAGCCCAATTAGAGTCCATAGCAATCCAATCCCAATAGCATATAAATCATATTCTCTACTAAAATTATCTAAATGCGAGTAGGAAGTTGGTACATCTGTTGTTGTTCTTAAAGCTCGAAAAAATCAATTCCTCATGTCCCACAATGTGAGATCTGGAAGAGTATAACTTACTCGCACATGGGTCTGAAAACTTTTTAGTCAAGATCGGTCGGGGCTTTGGAAAGAAAGAATCTACATCAATCACGATGCAGGCAACAGGATATTGATGTCCTCGACTAATCTGAAAGACAGATCTCATCATCGCAACACTTGTTTTCCCTAAACTATTTATCCTTAGAAGTAGGGTGAGCAAAACCTTATTTCTCTATAATTAGATAACATTAACATTTTTCATGCGTTCAATAAAATTATTCAATCACAAATATTACAATCTAACCAATTTAACGTATAAAGTAAAGGAACAAACAATCAAAAGAGACAATATATTACAATCAATGTATATTGAGCAGAGGAGTACATATCCAAATAGAATGCTAGCGAAAGACTCAAAACAAAAGGCGGAATAACGCTCTTATTCTATAACAAGGATTGATCCAAAAAATCAAGAGTGAGCAACGAAGCTAAACTTGATTGATCCAATTAGGTAGCATCAACATTGCTAGCCCTTCTTGGGACGATATTTGTCAATCGAATTTGAGAATTGCAATTATTCATTGACTTATTTTTGCTAGGTTATAAATTGAACATAGGGAAAAACAATTGACTCATATATGTACAATGTTCAAACAGACAAATAATCCCATGCCTTCCTGTTGAACTTGAAGCAGTCTGATTTCAAAGCAGCCAAGTTTAGGTCAATGAGGAAAAATCAACAAGAGCATAGACCAGGATAAGAGCCAATGGGTACAGCAGGTATGCTATAAGCGATGTCCAAACAGGGAAGGTGGAGTTGAAACTTGCAGCAAGACCCATTACAGCACAAACAATTAGAACAACTAGTACTTCAGCTGAGAAATGCCACGACAACCCACGAAAATAAATCAAGGATAGAAGAACAGTAAACCCAAGAATATTGTTCATGACCACTCCTCCATATATCTGCATCAGGAAAATAAGCATGTCAAAAATAGACTTTTCCGACCATATATGAGAGTACTAGGTTTTCAGTTCTAGTTCAAGAGGAATAGGGCTGAAATTTCACAACTTCGCTGGAAGAATATCGGTTTGATACAATTGCCAGAGAGGCCAGGCAAGCCCAAGAACTAGTGTGTATAGCCTCCTCTACTAGTGTATATACCTCAATTTTAGTGTGACTGATCATCAAAAAGACCAGCTAAGCATCGTTGGCTTAGTCAGCCTTTACTGACCAACTACCCTAGTCACTGAGCTATATCCCACCCCGCAGGTGCCACATGGATTCGATATAGACATTATTGGCATTAGCTACAAATGAAGCCACAGACCAAGGGAGATAGTTCAGTGAAAGGGCATCAATCGTGTCCGCACGGATTTGAGTCTTGTCTCATGCAAGTGTCCCCCTTCCCTTGAATGTACCAAGTTTATAACAAAACCAGTCATTTTGCTAGAAAACTTAGCCAATGATGTGTTATTTGTGTCCAATACTAACAAATGAAATTATGAAAGGAGCAAACCTCGGAAAGTGTCAAAGAAGTAGTTCTTGGCTTCTTTTGGCTGGCTGCAGATATTGCTGAACTTGCCACGCGAGCATTTGTAGCTAATGGCACTAGTATGAAAGAGATGAAAAAAGATGGTATACCAGCAGATATGGAGAAATTGTGGACACTGTGAATAAGAGGTTCAGCTAAAACTGCTACTATGGCAATTCCAAGAACCAAAAACATTATAGCCTTTGTCCATGCCCATGGAGACCTATCTGTGCTCTTCTCCTCTACCAAAAAGTCAACTTGTTCCCATGTTTTCTGCAAAATTATTTGACGCTTTCATATCAACTACCAGACAGATAATAGTATCTAAAAAAAGTACCTACTGTTGAAGCATATAAATGCTTGACTTACATTCTCTTTAACAACTTAAACATTTAGAATTGTTGGTGATTAACTTTCTATCAAAGCAGGAGATCTTGTGTTCGAGTCACGCGGTCACCTTGATAGTAAAAACACTTCCACGTGCATAGTTTAAAACCTAGTGCACATAAGGGGCGTGTTGAAGTACATTAGTATTTGTGTTACACCTCCTCTAACAACTTTTAAAGTAACTGGCGATTAAATTTTATCAGAGCAAGAGATTTTATATTCGAATCTCGCCGCAACCCTAATAGTTAAAAGGTTTTCACGTGCATAGCATAAAATCTCGCATGCATATAAGAGAACGTGTCGAAGTATATAATAAATATCTAAATTACACCCCTCATTGTATAAACTTTTAGAGCAACTAGTGATTACCATTTACTGACCTTGAAGATATCATCTTCAGATTCTGTTAAGTTGGGAGATTGGTTGTTTGTCATGTTGAGCCATTTTGCAAATCCAGTGACAAATTCCTCCTCGTCAATCAGATGATCGCCACTTACATCTAGTTCTTCCATTATTTTTGCCACAGCTTCATCGGCATCCCAAGGGATGTTACCAAACTTGATGTGCACTATCAGTTCTTTTAGTTCTGGTTGTGATATGCAATTGTCTTTATCAAGATCAATGGTTTCAAACAACCTGTAATCAATGGGTTGATTGGTCACTTAATGCAAGTGCTATGTGGAAAAAACAAAAAAGGAAAACACTCCTACATATCATGTGTCCATGTATTCTAAGGGAAATTCTTGTTAAGCATCAATGATACTATCCAAAAACAACACTTAAATCGTCAATCGAGTCATATTGTTCATTGGATGGTATCATTTCAGGTTTGCATCGAATACAAATTGACTCTTAACTCGATCTATTTGACCTACTTAATTAATTGTTTTAGATGTGCTGACATTTCACCCAACACATTTGTTAAACGTGTCATGTTCGGGTTTGTGTTGTCAGCCCTTAATCATTTAAGAGACAAAGACCAACTTACCTTTTTATAGCAGGAATATCTGGTGTTCCATCTTCTGTGCAGAGACTCCCTAAAGCAGAGCTTTGAACATGCTTCAAAATCTCTGATATCAACTCCTTCTTCATTTCTTGTTCTTTCTTCTTCTCTTGAATCCAAGGTTGCAGAATCTGGGAAGGTACATGAACATCCAAATGACTTCTAAACATTCAGTGAGGCAAAATAACAAACACTTGATAGTACAAATTAATATTATCAGACAAATTACCTGGTATAAATCTTTCAATGACTTATTTGAGTGATATCGTTTACCCATTGCATCCTTTGTCTCATCAAGCCATTTTGTCATTCCATTGACAAATTCATTTGCAGTTATTTTTCTGTCATTATTAAGATCAAAGTCTTTCATCACCTCTGCTGTTGCCTCATCGTTGTCCAGGTCTGATTTTCTGAACCTGATTTCGTTGAGAAGTCCTTTTAGTTCATCAAACGATATGAAATTGTTGCCATCTTGATCAATTTCATAAAATAACCTGCAATTCAACATATTTAACGTCAACAAACAACGTATTGTAATGTGATATTCTGATGGCTTCTGTTTTTTTTTTTTGTCAAAAATTAATTCATCGACACCGATGAAAAAATTAACGAAAAATTAAAAAAAATATAACATTATAACATTTTTAATACATTAATGAACGAAATTTAATTTTTGAAGTTATAAAGTAAAAATTTTAAAATTTTTTAACGTACCCAACACAATTCGTCCCAAATTACACCCCCAAGTTACACCCACAATTTTACTTGAGCAATACCTTCTTATAGCTCGTACATTTGGTGCACCATCATTATTGAGGAGTCTTCGCATTGTATGTTTCTGCACATGCTTTAATATGTCCACTATCAAATGTTCATGTTTCACGTATTCTAGTTGCCTCTTTTGGATCCAAGGCTGGAAGATCTGCATTGTGAGTTTCGAGATAGTTAAATGTACGCAGTTTTAACATGTACGTAAAGACTTCGTCTCTGTAATTCAAAGCCGAGACATAAAAATTCGCGTTAAAATAATTTTATTGTTGTGTCTTCCTGTGTATAATTAAAGAAAGAAGGGTGTCTAAACTGATTACCTGATAGAAAAAGTATAAGAGGAGGAATGCAATAGAAACAACGAGAGCGATTATTGTGACAACGCGTTCCCCAGGAGAAGACAAGTTGAAAACTTTAGGGATTTGCATGATAATAAATGGTATCACTGAGAGAACCATAATTCTTGCAGTATAACTAGTCTCAATATCTGTCGTCACACCATTACCTGTATTGAAAAAGGGTGAACTGAAATAAAACAAACAACTCAACAAATGGTAACCCATTATTGTACCGTTAGTTCGATAAGATATCAAAAAGTCCAAAAAAAAAAAACTCAAAAACTTACAACTTTCATCCTCAAAAGTGGTAGACTTCACTCAAAAAATGATATATGAATTTTAAAGGTGTTTGCACCCCAAAAGTTAGTAGGACCCACCCAAAAAAAATTGTATAAAAAACTAAAAAAAATAATAAATGATAGGATATTGGAATTTTTTTTTTTTTCGAGTTGTTAATCCTAACATTGAGTGTAACAGTTATACTATATCAACATTGTTAAGTGATTTAACAATCCAACGATAACTCACCAATTAAAAAACATTCACTCGACTTATCCAAATAACTATATCTTAATGTAAAATAGTGGGGTCACCTCACCCACTTATTTATTTAACGTTAAACAATTATACTATGTGATAATAGTGGAAC